CTCTTTTAATTGGCCTTTCTGGAACAGTGGCAATATGGAAGCCATTGTTGAAAGAAAACCACAAGAAATCCCATAAACCCCATGGATGTGGCACCACAGCGCTTGGAAAAAATAGTTAAATAACAAATTGTTTTGTTTTTTTTTACTTTTTTTTTTTTTTTTTAGATGTAAAAGGAGAGTGTCAAGAGGAGGACAAGGTGAGTTAAAACATTTTACAAATGTCATTAGCGTCTTTTCTAAATCACAAAGTGATGATATCATATTATTCATGAATGGTTGACTAATCAGAAAAAAACATTGATAGAAAATTAAACTATTAAAAAAAACATTGTGTAAGTTTTAACGCAAGTATTAGAGGTATTTGAGATACATCAAATGATCATGTCAATATTTTGCACTTGGCACTTGTATAAAGGCTCTTTAATGGATACTCTTCTAAAAAAAAATTTACTAGGTAACGTAAGAGGATCGGATTCGTCATTACAGAGGTCATGTGACCCATAGTGCTGCTTTACAGTAATCTGAGCTCACCTTAACCACACACATTATATATATGTAGACGCCCTCATTGGAAGAGGTCTGCATATGCTGCGAATGAGTTAGAGCATCAGCCATGTTGGATGTGGCAAAACTGCTGTTAGACTAAGACACTTAAACAGTATCAGAGGGACTTTAATCTCAGAATATTCTGTATATTCGTAATATTTTTATTTTCGTAATATTTCAGGTTTATTTTTGTATCCCTTTGGCTTCATTCTCCTGACCTTATTCCTGTAAAATATAAAAATAATTAAAGTAATCTATCCTGCCCCTATTACTCCAGGACTGAAACAGTTCCGCAAACTGTGGCTATTCTGGAAATGCTCCCCCTTAATTCTCATACATATAGTTTTATATAATCACACAACTATTTATTTATAATACTTAAAAAAAAATCTATATAATACTAAAAAATCTATATAAATCTATATATGCACATCTATATCTAAAAATAGTCATTTGTAATGTATGCAGCTAAAAACCTTGAAATAGAATTTTAAGGTCTTTCCTAGTTTAGCCACTCTGCAGCTTTAGTACGTCCAGTTTGGCAACTACTTTTTTTAACAGTGTCCTGTCTGGCAATGTGACAATAAGAATAATTGGATGTCAAAAAGAGCAGATTTTACTTTCACAAGTGGAGCAGTACAGCTATCGCCATACTGTTCCGCTTGATTTATGCATAGAAATTGCTTTATTATAATTCATACAGGGAGTATTACAGGTTATATGGACACTGCAAATTAAGTAGAACAGGAAAGGAAAAAGAGAAAAAAAGGAGAAAAGATGAAAGAAAGAGGAGATAAAAGGGAGGTAACGATAAAACATCTTCAGTCTGCTTCATCACCTGCAAAGAAATGTAAAAAAGAACAGTACAACCAACGGACATGTTACAAGACATACAATAAAGTAACACCTTGATACTATCGCTGAAGTATAAGTAGTATTATTTAATCTGACATGTATACTGTGATAGCTGAAGATAAGAATGTGGGCTTTCTGTATGTAAGTGAATCTCTAAGTACCTGGAGCCAAGCACCTTGGCAACTACTTTCTGCCACATACAATATGACGGTAACGTCGACGTGTGGACCTGCACCCAACGAGGCGTCTACTTTTATATGTCTGTGCTCTTAAGCAAGATCTAACTAAACTAAGGCCCCGTCCACACGAAGACGAACCCTGGCCTAAACGCACAAATTTTTCACCAAACCAGCCTCTCANTTTTTTTTTTTTTAGATGTAAAAGGAGAGTGTCAAGAGGAGGACAAGGTGAGTTAAAACATTTTACAAATGTCATTAGCGTCTTTTCTAAATCACAAAGTGATGATATCATATTATTCATGAATGGTTGACTAATCAGAAAAAAACATTGATAGAAAATTAAACTATTAAAAAAAACATTGTGTAAGTTTTAACGCAAGTATTAGAGGTATTTGAGATACATCAAATGATCATGTCAATATTTTGCACTTGGCACTTGTATAAAGGCTCTTTAATGGATACTCTTCTAAAAAAAAATTTACTAGGTAACGTAAGAGGATCGGATTCGTCATTACAGAGGTCATGTGACCCATGGTGCTGTTTTACAGTAATCTGAGCTCACCTTAACCACACACATTATATATATGTAGACGCCCTCATTGGAAGAGGTCTGCATATGCTGCGAATGAGTTAGAGCATCAGCCATGTTGGATGTGGCAAAACTGCTGTTAGACTAAGACACTTAAACAGTATCAGAGGGACTTTAATCTCAGAATATTCTGTATATTCGTAATATTTTTATTTTCGTAATATTTCAGGTTTATTTTTGTATCCCTTTGGCTTCATTCTCCTGACCTTATTCCTGTAAAATATAAAAATAATTAAAGTAATCTATCCTGCCCCTATTACTCCAGGACTGAAACAGTTCTGCTAACTGTGGCTATTCTTGAAATGATCCCCCTTAATTCTCATACATATAGTTTTATATAATCACACAACTATTTATTTATAATACTTAAAAAAAAATCTATATAATACTAAAAAATCTATATAAATCTATATATGCACATCTATATCTAAAAATAGTCATTTGTAATGTATGCAGCTAAAAACCTTGAAATAGAATTTTAAGGTTTTTCCTAGTTTAGCCACTCTGCAGCTTTAGTACGTCCAGTTTGGCAACTACTCTTTTAACAGTGTCCTGTCTGGCAATGTGACAATAAGAATAATTGGATTTCAAAAAGAGCAGATTTTACTTTCACAAGTGGAGCAGTACAGCTATCGCCATACTGTTCCGCTTGATTTATGCATAGAAATAGCTTTATTATACTTCATGCAGGGAGTATTACTCCCTGCATGAAGTATAATAGGGAGTATTATTAGATTATATGGACACTGCAATTTAAATAGAACAGGAAAGGAAAAAGAGAAAAAAAGGAGAAAAGATGAAAGAAAGAGGAGATAAAAGGGAGATAACGATAAAACATCTTCAGTCTGCTTCATCACCTGCAAAGAGATGTAAAAAGAACAGTACAACCAACGGACATGTTACAAGACATACAATAAAGTAACACCTTGATACTATTGCTGAAGTATAAGTAGTATTATTTAATATGACATGTATACTGTGATAGCTAAAGATAAGAATGTGGGCTTTCTGTATGGAAGTGAATCTCTAAGTACCTGGAGCCAAGCACCTTGGCAACTACTTTCTGCCACATACAATATGGCGGTAACATTGACGTGCGAACCTGCGCCCAACGAGGCGTCTACTTTTATATGTCTGTGCCCTTAAGCATGAGCTCTAACTAAGCTAAAAGTATACAGGAGATTGGAAGACCTTGTCTATTCAGCAAGGCCAACAATCCTCTTTAACGATGACCCTTCAGACACTTAGATGGGTATGGGGTATTGCAGTCTAACAAAAGAAGCCAAACGACCCCCATTCCAAAAGGATGGACCCCTTCCTCTGTTGTAATTTGCATGTTTTCAAGACAAAGACAAGGCCTTGTTGGGCTACTGTATAAAAAACCTCGAACTCAACACTATTTCCGATATTTTGAATTGAAAAGCTTCCTGGAATGGAAGCGAAATATCTTCAAACTTGGAAACAAAGTTCAGTGGATTGTTTTTAATTTTCTTTTTATGGACTAAGCTAAAAGTTGCTGTTAGGCAGCAAAGCAGATATGCCACTTACCTGATCAGACATATCTTTGGGTTCTATGATGTAGGATTTAATCTAGAGGGCTGAATGTGGTCTTGTCTTTACAAGTAATTCCATGACTTTTTTTATCTGCTGGTCCAAAGTGGTCTGCTATCAGATTCCAAAACACGGAGGGAGACCATAGCACTTTGTAACAGTGCAGTGTTGCCAGTGGCCTTTGGGGGGCGCTAAATCTGGAAGTTACAGATTGAGGATCTCTAGTGGCTAAAAGTTACAAAGTGTTGCTTTACGTATTACCTGAAAGCAAATGTATTTAAGGCTTCAAAAGACAGATGAGGATAGAGGACAACAGCCTTTAAACAATGAAACAGTAATATCCTTTTGTTTGAATGATCCAGACACAGTTAAGATCTCAAACCAACTGATAATCTGTTGGAATTATTAATGACTGCCGTTTAAAACTTATCTCTAATTTAAGGGAGCTCAACCGAAAAAAATTCCCTTTCTAAACATACAAAGTAAAAATACTCCCCAAAGACGTGCAGCTATAATTGCAGTGTAAGATGGTTCTACAAAGTATTGACTAAGGGAGGCGGAAAACAATTTTAAATATGCAACACCTTAAAAAGCATGTGTGATTTTCCTTTCATGTTGTTTAATGTGGTGGAAATATGAAAAAGGCAAGAAAAAAGGGTTAAAAGGTATGAATTAATATAGATCAACTGACAATTTTGGACAGAACGCCCTACTGTATCTATAATTTGACAGCTAGGGCTGTGACAAACAATGCAGCTAAGACATATTTTGCAATTCACATAGACTAAACAGAAATCTGCACTATCAGACTAAAATAATAACACAACTTACATGTTACCGTTCCATCAAGGTGCATGCACATGCTTTCGAAAGAGAAAACAAGGTTATCTTAACGAGCTTCAGAATATTTAAGTTAAATTGACAGCATTTACCTCATGTTGAATACCTGTATTTTTGCAAAGTTAAAAAATGGTGCAGAATAATTTTGTATCGACAATAGGACCAAAGCCAGAAATAAACACTTATATGTGTGGAATTTATAAAACAATCATTTATATAGCATACATGTTTTTTAGTGAAATCAGTACTTTGATTTTGCACCAGTTTAGACATTCTGTGAATTCATTATTTTTTTAATTGCTTTGATGAAAAGTTTGGAGCTATTACCTTTAAGATATAACGGTAGCCAAATATCAGTCATAGAAAATATGTAAACTCATTCAATAAGGATCAGAATGAGAAATGCTGCAAACAAACAGCTTACTATAGAAAATACACACCTGTTTGGCATCGTTAACACACTGCAGGTAAAGAGCTGCTATGTTGGAGCAATTTAGGGTTTTTCCAACGTTGTCTTTGTAGCAACCCAGGATCTGGCCCTGGAGGTCTCCACATACTGGATTCACTTCATACCTCCTGTAGGGCGAAAAGGAAAAACAAAGAGTGTGAAGGCTGAGAACAGTCATAAGAGATTGGTTAGAGGAGGGTAGAGGGGAGTGACAAATCAATAAAAGAAAAGGCTGAATAGCGCAAGATGCAAATGGACTTTAAAGAAAAAGCAAGATAAATGGTATGCAAAGGGTTGTCAATTAAAGATGGGCCATAAATGTGGAATGAAGACATATTGATTTGGATATTAAATTGTCAGTTTCATCACAGCTTAGGTGGTTTGAGTTCACTGAACTACATTGCAGTCTGCAGTAGGTTTGTGTTTGTGTGTCTTTTTCATTATTACTATCCAGGTGAAAGACCCGAGGCAAGAACCTGCAACACTGTTTTCTGCAAGTAAGGTCAAAGGTCCACAGCCTGCTGTTTGCACCACCACATATTGCCAGAGAGGCCAAGGGTGTTCCAAGAAAATGGCTTTATTCCACAAAAACTGAGATACATCTGGTGACTGTGTATTGCACATATGTATTACATCTGAGCAACACTTTCTAATCTGCACATGGTCTTAAATGTGAGGAGGTAATGAGGATAATGATGAGACTCTAATTATTGCACACAAAGTATACCCTTCTGGTAAAGTAGTCTCATCTTACCCATAAATATCTTTAAAAAACCTGATGACAAATAACTGATAGCTTATTTGGAGAAACCAACCACTTGGGATGTCTATTTGAGAGCTATGCAGCTCTACTGCTTTTCATACAAACCCCCATCTCATGGTGCGTATATAACAGCTGTTTAATGGTAATATGTCTGTTGATACTGCAGGCAACACATCAGTTCATATTAGCATGCGTGAGCCTTTCCTTAAGGTATCATCTGCTACTAATTAAGCTGCTTGAATATAATGGATGGTATTATAAATGATACAGTGCTTTGCAAATTTATTTATGTGCATTTTCTTTCACATTTGGTCAAGTTGCAACAACAAACCTGAATTAATTTCATTTCTTTTTAAAGTGAGGGTAGGTGAAGAAGTGTATAAAAGGACAAACGGTTTTAAACTAATTTTCCACTAAAAAATGTTTTGGATCCTTTAGTCAGTAGGTAGTAGAACTGACTGTTGCTGCTTTATAGTTTCAAATGCCCCTTAGGTTTGCACTTCTAGAAGTTATAGAACATGTGCTCTCTGAACTCTTTGAAGGGGGCGGAGCTTAGTGACAGAGGGTACCTGGGTCTGCGTTTGTGATTGGTTAAGATGATGTAATGACTGTAATATTAACCTACATGGCTAAAATGCATAAGAAAGGAAAATGGTTATTCTATTAAACTTTTTATTTTTTTTAACCTTTTTTTCTATTATCGATATACGTCTATCGATTGATACATATTGTTATTTAATAATTGCCCAGCCTTACTCAATAGCATGATCTTTGGGATTTCAGAGCAAAAAAAATCTGTAAAAAATCAAAATATTATTTTCTTTTGTGGTTTGATAACCATCCATCCTTTTCCTTTAATCCTTCACATTTGGCCCAACTTTATAAAGTTCAGTCCAGTGAAATGTAGAGAAGCTTGAGGTTGTAAAGTAGGAAAATGCTTAAAAGTGGGTGCAAACCATTTTTTTCCCCTGTAAAGTAGATAAACTAACACTCAGTGTATTTACATGGGACTTTTGGATGAAATATATTCAGGAGTGGGAAGTTTAAACCAATTCAAGCAGCAGGATATCGCACTTGCACTGGAGTCTTGCACAGCATAACTGCTTTTGTCTTTCTGTTCACACACCCCATAAAAATCCATAATGACTACGCATGCAGATGCCTCTTGGCCCATTATGCTAATAGCAGTGTCATCGTTTTGCTCACATGAGTGCTCAGGACACAGCATCTGCCTCACTAGGCGCACCTCGGATGGGTGTGAAAGGCAAAGGGATTTTGCCTGCCAGCAACTCTGGACATCTCAAAGGAATATTGGGCGATGAAGCCAAGCCCCCGTAGTCAGAATCAGATGTTTGATTTGCATCCTGGAGAGAGAAATTACCCCCCTGGTGGATCCAAAGTGTGGGATTGGTTGCATGGGTCATTACCCAGGGTGCAATGCAGCAGGAAGCCGTTGCAATGAAGATGTGTACATATGCGCCATCCCCACATAGCCTTAATTGCTTGAAGAGTTGCAAAAAAATCTATATAGTGTATTTCCCTTGGACGCTCATTTCAGAGGCACGTCTTAAAATCTTCCACAGAAATCAGATATGAGCTATTTTAGGTATTTTGGCCTTAACAGTCAGTTTATTTTTTCAGACCAGTTTTAAAAGTAGTCTAGGTTATTGCAGCCATTTGGATTTCAGCTTTCTTATTTTCCAATCTTTGATCTAAGGTAAGCAATCTACTTCAGGCCATATTCCTTTATCTTTAGCTTATAGCTGTAAATGTGGCATCCATCTTCTCAATCTTCCTGCAGGAAGAAAAGGGGAGTAAGCATGTTTCCTAAAACATATGACTATTTCCTTGAGTTTTCTCCAGGAGCGGCTCTATAACTTAAATAACATCTAACATTTGGCTCTTGCAGTGCAGCCAGGGACATTATGCTGCTGGGAGTTGAAAAGGTTTTGCATTTGTGGATCTATCAAAGCGAGATTTAGACGTTTGCCAGAACGCATGACAAGACCATCGCTCTGCGTCAGGGGGGCTGAACGATGACAACAGCACTGCCAGCAATTGCTGCCATCCTATTCCTATGGATCCTGGCGCTCATTTATTACACCGCCTATGGGCATCTACAGGGAAGAGAGGAGCCACATAAGCACACTAATTACTTTCTTAAGCATTCCCGTTAATGCCAGGTGCATCCTGCTGATACAAACCGCCGTGTTTATCACCAGTAATGGCCCTGAAGAGAGAGAGAGGGGAATAGGCAGATAGAGGAAAAGAGAGTGGACTGAAATGAAGAGCATTTCTTGATGAAAAACTAAACAGAAGTACTTCTATTTATGCTTAATCTCTGGTTCTCTCTCTCAGGGGAAGGGGTTGCAAACGTGGCTGAGTTAATCACAGAGACAATAACACTGTCACACACACTATGGTACGATGCTGCATACTCGATCATCCGTCATTAAGATTAACATTAAATTCCCTCCGCCAACCGCACACAGCCGGCGCAAAGTGACTATAACCCCCCCTTCCTCCCCCTCATTTTTACATTAAAAGCTCTCATGTCATTTTCTATGTGACTGCTGTGGTTTTACCAAGCAGAATGGAGCCAAGCACAGACAGAGCAGAGCAGACACACTGAAATCACAATAAAGCACATCCTCTATTTTATATTTCTTTGAATATTCCACATATTGCATTTTATTTCCATTTAAAACCATCTGGAAAAACAAATACCTGAGTTTTCTTTTTAGGGTAATCGTACTGTTTAAGCTTTTTTAAGGCAAGAGTGTCATTAAATGCTGTTGCATTGCAGCTTCTGCCACTCAGGGGATGTTTAAATTTCTTTAAGAATATTACAAAACAATTAAGAGTAATTCAGTCCCTATATTACCTAAGCTGCCAGGCATGTATGGGTAAGGACACCATATCAGGTTAGCAAAATGAAAATGTTTATTAAATTATGTTTTTATGGTGTAACTGAAATATATGAGAAGTGTGGGCTTGAGGCATCTTCTGCTTTCCACCTCTTTTGATTGTATAATATCATGCGGTTGATGTGTTAATGCTTAAGAACAATTTTGTGCAAAAAGCCTCCTGGATTTTTAAAGCAGCTTAGCTTCAAAGTTTTCTAATCATTACATAAAATAAGAGTAAAAATATATATTTTTTTCTTCCATTTATGTCAGATTTGTTTATCCTTTGCCTGTAAGGGTACTGAACCGAAAAAGTTCAGTTCATCCTGCTAGCTGTATTACCTACTGGTCTTCGACTTTTAACTAGCTTGTAAATGTTAATTTAAATGTTACTTTTGGGGTTAAAGCCAACTTCTCTACAGCTGATAGTCTGAAGTGACCGGACCCTGTAGCAGAGATGTAACGCTGGTCCTCATAACTACAGTCCTCTGAAGTTGTTCCCATGCCATTTTGGTCCTTAACGCTGGTAGCGGCAATATATTTCCATCACCTGATTTAGCCCAATCTTTATTCACATTTTCAGTACCTTGTGTCAAAACATAAAGAGATTCATGGCATTCTTGATAAAACTGCACATAGCCACAGAATTCAAAATAAATACAGTGAACATATACAGTGTAATATTTGCACTGTGCGAGTTTAAATGTGTAATCTTTGCCTCTTTACCCCCTAGACAGTAAATCTAAACAGTCATATAGGGGTTTCGACTTATTGCCATCAGTAGCAGTAAAGGTCTCCATAACAACTCCTCATACAACCCAACCCCCAATACACACATGCGATGACACAAACACACAAAATCCCAGTCTCCCTGATCTATTGATGGAAGACAGAAAAGAGAGGCTGAGGTTGGTTTAGACATCCATATTATTGCTTCTAAGCAACATGTCATAAATCACAAAGAAAAGAGGAAGTCAGAAGAATTAACCATGATAGTGGGTAGTGACAATAGGGACAAAATGGGATTATAACGAAACAGAAACAGCTGGTTTACAAATTCCGGAAAGAAAATGTTTAACAAACCCAATAAGGATGTTTATTTAGGAAGAAAATGATACCATAAAAATACATTAAAAAATCTCTGTATCTTTGTATTTTTATTTTTTTTTTGTAAAGTTAATTTGGGAAAGAGCAGAGAAATCAGAGTGAGAGACATAAACCATAGATAACCCTGAAGGGGTTCCACTTTACATGCAATAAAGAATAACAGATCACCTGTTCATGCTTTCTCAACACATTCCTCCATCCTCAAGGTGTCCCTTTATCATTTAATAGGGTCCTTTTTTAAAGCCTTCTGCTGTACAAGTCAGCATATTTCCTTGCAGGGAATATATTCTAATAGGTTTATGTCTAAGTCTGCAGTGTTTAAAGAACATGTTGAGCACATGCCGTCTCATGT